TAATAATTAAACTACCTTGTAAGTAATGTGGCTCTGTGTATAATAGAAAAAAGGAGTGTAGAGATGCGAAAAGATGATGATGCGGAGAGATTCCGACAAAACCTGTGGTGTTGATTCTGATGGGAATATCTGGAGGGGGCAGTTACAATGAGATCATCCGATGATGGTTTCGCGATGGGACCTTTATAGACAAGACGGATTTCATAGTCGTCTGGTGAACGTGTTATACAATAACCCGAAAACCCCGAAGCGCCTCCAAACACCCATCACGTCGCAACAAAAAGGTACCCTGGGTAAAGCCCACGGCAGTGGGTGGTGGGACGCGAGGGTTATAGTATCGCAGCTTCACGAGACGTTGGAATCCCTCCAAACCTTTATAGATATGAGATCGACAAAAAATAAAAATCGAGTAAATATGTCTGTGTTTATTTTCAATGAGTTAATTTGTAGGGTTGGGAAGTAGTAAAGCAAGTTTATCTTAGAAAAGGGCTTTGATACCATTCCTAGCCTCCATTAAAGAAATGACAGTTCGTCTCCATTGCCTCGTTCCCTAGCACCTCTCATTTGCTTCGTTATTGCCGGTCTATTCTTAGATTCAAGATCTTTTTTTCTGAAGATTTGTGTAGAACTTTTTTTTACAACTGTTACATTTTTTTATTTGTGGCTGTGGTCTTTTCGTTTTTTTCCCCGAGGGTGTTTGCCAACAGAAGAACAGGTTACAACAAAACGAATCACCCCTTAGGCAACTTTGCAACAGTGTAAAATAAAGGTAGCAGACAAGATTTTTGAACAGAAGTACTTTCATTCCAACATGGGCTACGAACGATGATGGCAAGTGAGGGCAAGGCTTTACCTGACTCTCGCAGGTTTCGATCCTAGCTGCCCATACCCTAAAGCCAGACCTCTCCTCATGTGATCGCAGCAGCCTCCTCCTTATCAACCCGAATTCAAGGGCGACATCTTCGTTAAATGGAAGAGCAGCCTTTAGTCTCATTACGAGGCGGAATGAATTAGCTGGAAGTTCATTCCTTCCTTCCTCAAGTATAATTTATAGCACAGAATCTACTGAGCATTCATGAAGCACTAGGGTAACCGTATTTTGCCCGGGTCCCGGGATATTCAGTGATCACTGATTAAGAGGCAAAATACGTTCAAGTTGCTTTTTCTCCCGAGTCACGAGTCCATCAATCTCTTTCAGGGTCAGTCGTGGGAACATTATGTTTGATAGATGACCCCGTTCTTCTGCTCCTGCCTTCTTTTTGTTCACAACAAAACTATATAAGAAAAATGCCAGCCACACGGTGCTTTACTCTTCTTCAACCTCGTTTTCGATGCTTCTCGGCGTATATTCATCATCTTCTTCTTTTCTCTCTTTTTTACTTTTCTTTTGCTTTTGCACTCCCTTCGCAGATATCTTCAGGATCGAGAAGTAGTAACTGCGGGACGCTTACCTTGACCGAAATGCTTGTTTGGGGAGCTGAAGAGCCATGATCGGAGCTCTCCAGGTATCACTGCATGAGGCTCCTCCTTTCAATCACTCCAACAATACCTTCCAGTTATGAGAGCATAGCGCATACCTTTTTTTTCGAACAAGATGAACTCCACACTTTTCTCTCTACCTTTCGACGATTTTTGTTAGGCCAGCCGTTAATGGACACTCTTTCGGAGAGGAAAGCTGGTTTTTGTTGAAGAAGGCTTGAGTGGAGAAGCGTCAAATGAAGGAAACTCCTTGTGCCTCCGCTCAACGGTCGGCCGCCACGAATCTTCTGGGCGCTCACACGCTCGGCTGCACATCGTCTCTGTTTTCCAGCAATTAGCATACTGTCGCCAAGTATGCTAGGAGGATCAGCTGCGGATCAGTTAGAACCGGTCTGCGACCGACTGCGCCATGCTGGGCCACAGGCCACCATCCTGACCTTATCGCCACCCTATTAATATTCCCGCGAACCACTATACAACACCCATTCTTACTACTGTTGCTACTACTCCATGATGGTGCTATTGTACTCTGCTCACTGTCAGAGTGAAGAGTTTGGTGCTCTTTTTGGACACGCGTGCCAATCTTACTGTCGTCAGTTACATAGGATTCATCAACTGTTTGCTCAACTCCCACTTAGGGTTTTTTTCCCAGAACATCATGTCCAATTGAATGTCAAAGTAAACATTCAGATGTGAAAGGACATAGTGTGATGCCGGCCCATTGACCGACTCTTCTCGAAGAGCCCTACTGTGGGCTTTTATTTGGAATCGTGGAGGGGGAGCGGGGGAGCAGATGAAGGTTATTTTTGATTTGGACTGTAATCACAGGGAATCCAACAGCTTCTGGACATATTTTGTAGGGCGACTTTGCTCATTAGGGCATATACAGTACTGAGCAGTGGGCCAGCAAGAAGAACAGGTACAGTTCAGTTGACTTGGGTAAAATTCGATCATGCAACCCACACATGGGGAATTAGCTGCTCCTCCTCCACATCAAGCGACCACCAATTCTGTAACTCTTTTGAAAGGACACCCATTCTGTAATTCATTTGAGAGTACACCTAACCATACAAATAACTGGTATCGAATTTTCAGTGTAATTTTAAAAATGGAGAACTTAGAGCTGTAAAAATACCCGCATGCCCTCGATTCCCATGGGCATGACTGTGAGTTCATAAAATTTTGAAGACCATCCTCAGCTGCTAGTTCGTCAACCAGTTCTTCTTTTTTTCCGAGTATTTCTTCTCAACTCTCGCCTCGTCCTCTTTTGCCGTATCTGCGCTCTCGAGGGGGTGAAAGTCACGACGGAAAGGCCGGTTTTTGCTGCTGGATGTGATTGCAACACATCGCCACCCATGCAACACGTCGTTAGTGCACCGTCTCTCGGCTTCTGCAAATCATAGAGCAATGGGTTTTTCTGACATCCCGGTGGAAGTCCTAGTACCACCTTCCTCTCTTTTTACTTCTTTTTTTTGTTGTCTTTCTTTCGAGTTGGAAGGAGCAGTTTTTAGTTCTTTCTCCTATCTTCGGCTGATTATAAGATTTTGATGGAGACTTTGACAAGTGTTGGGGAAGGACTAGAAGTAAGTAAGTAGCGAGAATAGTAAAGAAGAGAGGATAGGTTCATAAAAGCCTGTAAGTGGAGGTAAATACAGAGGGACTCCCAAGTACAACTTCCTTTTTCAGTACAAGCGTCCTAAGACTCCATGTAAAATGCCCCTCATAGTACTACCAGTCCTAAACTAGGCCAGTGCCAATGAAGGAGCATGATGGTAAGGGCTAAACTACACGCTCTATCTAAGGGAAGTAGTCCAACCCATTCTAACTTACCATTTCCCTTTTCCAATGCAGCCTCTTGGGACTGTGGTTGCTGGGAGAATCAGGCTCGATTCTTCGTCTTCTACAGTTCACTTCTTTTTTTCTTGTAGTCAAGGTACACGACCGAACCAGAAGTTCACGATTTTTACCCAGGTTCGGATATACGGCTTATCCTAAGAGCATTGCTTAGGGTTAGGTCTCTTTCACTGGAATACTTCCCAAATCCAGTAGTTGTTCAACGTTTTCTTCTACCCTACCGGTTTTTAATCCCAAAACGACGTAGGATTTGAGGAGATTAGATCGTTGACACTACTATTACTACCTTCCTGGCTAGGGCGGTGACTGGTGCTGCTTGTTCACACTGTCATATCCCATCATTTCACGAACGCCGTCGTCCTTTCATGATTGTTATCGTGACGTGACGATGAAATTATGCATTCATCAGATCTTTTAGTGCAGAATCCGTTCCGCGCCACTCAGAGATTTGAATCTACGCGAATCTGATTCAACTGACGTAATCTGACTAGCAGCTACTATCCTATATTATGAATCGCCGCTCTTCTCCCGTCCCTGCTCAACCTAATTTAATGGCAAAACTTGAGAGGAAAGCAACCGCCCTTCTCAGAAGTCTTGAGAAGTTTTGTGGAATTTTTATACCCTCAACAGAACTTGCATGGGATTTTGCTCTTTGCATCTTCCATCTGTTTGTTGTTCAATTAAAGGCTCCTCTTTTTCTTTTTTCGGTGTCTTCACGAAAACTTGATGGTTTCCCTGATTGGTACAATTTTTAAAAAGTTACCATATAACATGCTCTCCAAATGACTATATGATAATGCGAAATCTGCTTCTTTATATCCTATGTTACCCTTATTACTGTTTGAATGCATATGTGACCTATACCTGCAAAGATACCTACCTACAACTCGGTGCACCTTTCAAGAATCTAGTAAATCCCAGGAAATCTGACTTCGGAGGTATGGAAGATGTGTTTCGCCTAGGTACCATAGGTCCGCGGATTTGATCCTGTGATTGTAAAGTTATTTGACATCGATTCCTCCTTTTTTCCTAGTATCTCAGGTAGAAGTAGGACATAACGGCAGTGGACCAAGCAGAGGCTCCAAGGTGGAAGTACTGGAGTTCGACTGTTCCTATCATTGGTTCTAGTCCCAACTCATTTTACCAATCAAATACTCATTCAAACTGCCACTGGAACTTCGAAATGTGCAGCTGGTTGGGTGTCACATCCAACTCGTTGTCATTTCATGTGCTACTTATCTTAGGCTTTGTCGAAAACTACAGAAGCCATCAATTTTCTCTCTGAAATTGGTTTTTTGTTCTTGAATAAACGTTGGAAGCTGGGCTACATGTCGAAGTCCAAGTATCAGAGTGTTCCATAGAAATGGGCTTTGTAAGTTGTGGACATCATCTAATGTGAATGTCCTGGGTATAGGTTTCGACCTATGTCCTGTGGTGTGTGGTAGATGGCCGTCTGANGTTGTCATTTCATGTGCTACTTATCTTAGGCTTTGTCGAAAACTACAGAAGCCATCAATTTTCTCTCTGAAATTGGTTTTTTGTTCTTGAATAAACGTTGTAAGCTGGGCTACATGTCGAAGTCCAAGTATCAGAGTGTTCCATGGAAAAGGGCTTTGTAAGTTGTGGACATCATCTGATGTAAATATCCTGGGTATAGGTTTCGACCTATGTCCTCTGGTGTGTGGTAGATGGCCGTCTGAGTTTGGCCCCTCCCTAACTTTAGCTTATCTTGTTTGTATACTGAAGTCAAATTGGAAAACATCCATCTCTGAATACCTCCTACTCTAAATGCCCTCAATCCTCAAAGTGCATTCCACATTAACCTAGGTGCACTTTGCAGTAGTCGCTACATTATGCTCATGATGAGGGTAGTCTGCGCTACCATCCGCTATCGCATCCTGTTATTAGGACGAGTTCTCCTGTTAGTCTTCTGTAGATTACCTTGGTTCACTCGATGTGATTCGTTGTAGGAATAAGACCAAGAAAGAGGAATTAATTGTCATTATTCAGAGTTTCTCGTCAAAAAGTATTCTCAAAGCTCTCGGATGGTCTATTGAACTGAATCAGTTTCGTAAAATTTTCAAAGTGTTCCAGCACTTGTTAATTCTGAGCTTTTCCAGGTCGCAGGCATTTACGGCTGCGACGAACAACCAGCCCTGCGTCGATTTACTCGTTACAATCACAGCATGCTGGATACCCCAGTGGTATCCGCACCTCCGCCACCATCCTCGTTTTCAAAAAAGTTGGTCCCTTTCCACTTGTACCCTTTACCAATTTGCCTTTTGAAATTTAGAAAGTTCATCCTTGCAGTCTGTATCTCTCCATTTACTTTCAGTTCCAAGAAACCGTCATTCTTCAGCGGTAACTGGACGTTCCGTGACCGGAAGCAGTCACGACCATGTATGGACCATGATAGTATGAGGAGGTAGGTACCTTACTGACCATCTTACCTTTACTTACTGTACTCAGTATCTACAGGGAAGAACGGCCGATGAGCATGAATCTGTCCGAATCTCGAGGAGGACGTAGCAAAAGTGAAACGGCTCCACGTCAGGTGGAAATCAGGGTGCCGGTGAAGATTGAACGATCATCACCAGCCGAGGAATATCGACGGTCACGGCAACTATCAGAGACGTCTGCGGTTTACAAAAGTATCGCTTAATCCTTTGAAATTGAAGCCTTTAAAGCTTAGTGAAATAGAGTCGATATAATTACCCGTTTATTATGCGCAGAATAAAGATTTGGGTAGGCGCGCGTACGCGAAGCGGTTATAGGTTCCTTTGGCGAAGGAACGGAACGGCAATACTTGGTGGCAAGAACATAATTTCGCCACTGTAGCACACCCAGCGCTCACTATTACGTTCAGGTGACTCCATGTAATACACAACTGAAATAGCCGCTTCGCGACCGCATGCCTAGTTGTTAGTCAGTGGCGCAAGTACCTTTCGGAGGATAAGCGCATTGCTGCTACGGTTCACCTCAGGTATACGCTAAAGGGGATAACCCAACCACTCCTTTATTCAGTAACAAAATGGGTTTTATGTTTGAAAAGAGACCACTGTGGGGTTCCCAACGCTCAAATATCCCTCACAAAAGGTTGAAGCTTCTGATATTAATCTTTGGCTTGAGTGTGCGCCCTCGCTTTCGCTTTCAATCAGAATCATAGTAGCGTTTTTAAGGTGTATGTAGCTTATAGAATGGTGTGGCCAGCCAATCTACTAATCAATTCTTTTTATACTCCCAGACGAAACCCCTACAAATAACTGACCCTGGGTGTATGGAAGCCTTGATTAGCATAGGAGAGTGTTGATCTGGGAGTTGAATCGTTGACTATGCGTGTGATAGGTAGTCATTTGCCACTATACCATCTCGGATAACACTCACAGAGGTCATAACAGAATGAAAATTTTTTTGAGGTCAGTGAGATAGGGCTTCTTTCGAGGCCATTTTGAGCATATCCTGTAGGTAAAACTTTGCAGTAATGACTAAGAACTCTTTATGTACAACGATTTGCAGCAAACATCACCGTTGACGACTCGGTTGTGCCAACGCCTGCGTCGATTTTACGTCCGAGAAAGGAATTTGCCGAAACGAATAATAATAGTTACAACTATAATTCCAGGTAACTGTAACTCCTGCCGGTCCATTTATCCCTTCATTACATCCACTCGACCATAACAGGGACNTTTTTGTGATTACTCTCTGAGAGCAAGTGAACGTTAGGGTAAAAAATGCCGATAAAAAGTCACGTGCATGCTCCGCCCACTTTGGACGAGTTTCATTCGGTAATCCTTTCAAACCCAGGGCTACATTCCTTCAACAGTTGCAGAATATTCAGTTAGCTCGTTTTATGGGTTTGCTTCTTCGCCCTTGTATAACTAATTTTAAGCAGTAATCCTCTCCGAAAAAGTTGTCCGGACCTTGACGCTGCGAGCGCCACCTCGGTGCCTACCGAGGAACGTGGCCAGCGACGACGAAACCGCCGAGCAAAGGAGAAGATCAAAGAAGCGAGTTGGAAACGAAAACCGGTCGAGGTTAGTCTTGTCTTGTCAATGCTTCCTCTACCTTTACTGGGCACGCGATCGGGAGATGCATCCACTTCCCTTAATATTGATAATGATTGGTTTAAGTAAGCCGAGGAAACCTGGAAAGAACTCGAGACCACCCCAAAAGCCATTCTTTGAGATACAAAAAAAAATCATCATGTTTTTTTTTCTTTTTTTATGGATTTCCCACCACAACAAAGTTATGTTCATTTATGTCCGCTATCATGCCCTTATCCGCTACCTTTTAGTAGTCTCAATGACAGGCCGAAGTAGACCAGATAAAGATCTGCTGCTACCGCTGTGGATCCACCACTTCCCCTCTTCCTCCCTCTCCCACACCTTACCCCTTTCCCCTTCACCTGAATATTCTGAAAGCCGAGACTGCAACACTTCTGAAAAAAACTTGGTTTGGCCATTGGTCGTCACTGTCCTGTCCAGCCTACAGCTTTTCTTCAATTTCTACTCCCAACATAACTCGTACAATCCATGAAATCAGCAGAAAAATCTGAAGCCCTCTACTCATTCCTCATTCTATATTCCTTGCGATGGATTTCTTCTATACCCTTAAACTATTGGCCCGCTCCAGTTTGAGTTCTTTATCCTGCGTCAAATTCTCGTCTTCATGACCTTCCACGGGGTCCAGATTGGGTATTAAGGCCTACATACCACCTTCAACCCTTCTTTCTTTTGCCCTTCTAGCAACTTCCAAACTGCGGTTCGAATTGAACGGAACAGCCACCGTTCCATCCCTGACTCATTGTAGTGAGAAAGGAATATGATTTTGGAAAAAAGCGGTTTCTCTCGCAATGTTCAAATGAAAAAGCGCAGTTGAAAGGTACAGTAACCATAGTGTACAGTACTCGCAAACAAAGAGAGCTTCGATTCTTGTTACGATGGAACAGCCTGAAACGCGATTGTCGCCTCGGTCGTTTGCCTTAAGCAAATACCTTTTATGTGGAAATGCTAAGATTGTCCGTAATGTAAATATCTTTCGTAGAAGCTGATGTGTTACGTGTGTTGTAACAGGGAGCTGTCCCAGATGGAAATTGGAATTTGGAAAAAAACGCAAATGAGTTTTCATGCTTAAATGGGACATTAGTCGCAGAATGACAGGGAGATCGACCCGGTATGGCTAACTGAAGCATTATAAGGGTATTGACAAAGTGAAGTTGAGCTACACAGATTGCATATCTAGTAGAACTTCAAATTCTCCGGTCTTTCACGAATATACCACTAACATTTGTATACCAAGGACACTATCATTAGTTTCAAGTTTTTTTTGAGGGCTCCATGATCAGTTTCGAGGGTTTTTGACTTCATTTTCTTCCTGGCATTTATCCTGCGCCGTCGCACGATCCGCCACTCCTGATAGTCGGCGCCCTCTCTTACCACCAGCAGCAACTTCGGCATGAGATCTCTTTCAACGAGATCTTTCTCGACCATAGCCTGCCTCTTCTTCTCTGAAACTTCTCCTATTCGTTTCTCTTGAATTTTTGCCCAATAGCTGTTATGGTGATTCTGTCACCTTCTCAGTACGTTTCTCTGAAGTCGCAGACGCTACCCTCTCATGTTCAGCTGAACAGGAGCTGCTATCACTCTTCCGGTCGCGTCTAGGCGCAGGCCTACCTCCAACATCCTCATTTCTGTGGAATCAAGCTGACTTTCATGATTTCCGCTGTCCAAGCCTCGAATTTTGTTATACTTTTGGCATCTTCACTTTGAGTGTACGGCAGGTTATTCGTAGTCTTTGGCTCATGGCTCTTTTTCGTGACTCTTGCGTGGTGTCATCCCAAACGTTCTCTGAGTATGATCAAAATTTTTGCACTTCCGAAATGCCCATCCGTCGAATGGCATCCATTGGAGCGGAAATTAATCTCCGATGTGTTAATTTTTAGGACTGGGCCCTTGACGATGTCCTGCTCTGGCTTCAGGCATGCAGTTTAGATGATGTCGCCTCACTTCTGATCGGCTATGATCTGAGGGGGACAGATCTGCTGACATGGGATCACGATTGTTTGTGTAAGTACCACAACTCGTTCGGGGACGAGTTTCCTCGCTCATATTCATTGTGTTCAGCCCAACTCGGTGTCACCAATTTGTCAGTTCGTGAAAAAATTCTTCGAGAATTGACTGCGATCAGGGAACGTGGTCCGGAAGAAGTTAAGGAGTCAGAGAAAAAGAATGGACATCGAGCATTGTTTGATATAGTTAAGCAGAGTTCATACGATCAGGTATACGGTAATTTCCCAAATTTTAGGTGTTTACGAGTACGATATTTATTCTCTCTATAGGTACTGGCCGTCGAAACCCCTCTGACGACTCGCGATATCATTGTCACACATGGTCGGCTCGGATGCCTACAGATTACCAAAGTAAACGGCGCGAATTTGCCCTTGAGGGAGAACGATTGGTAGGCGTTTCGGCTCCTCCTTGAAAATCCGTCATTTCAGTGACTTTGATTTTCAGCCTTTTGGAAATCAACGATTGCCCTGGTGAACAGTTCAAATCGGCGTTAATGTTGACGAAATTGATAAGCGATTCGAATGGTTCACCGATACGATTCGTCGTACTTCGTATGAAGACCGTCGAAAGAGTCGAGGACACCTTCGTGAGTTACTTTTTTTGGCTTTAAAAAATCTAAGAGATTTCAAATCCGTGTGCACTCCAAGAGTTTCTGGGCGCATCTCCTCTGCAGCTGCATTCGGCGTCAATTTGTTCTCATTTTTTTGGACTTCCGAGAAAATGAAAATCTTGAACGCGTGCGGTCGCGCTGCGGTCACTCACAAAGCTGTACTCTGAAAAAACAGCATTTCTATCGCGAAAATTCCATTGTCGATGAGAAAATTGCAGATAATTAGAGTATTTCTCCCACGGTAGGGTTCATCCTGGACAAGGAGTACTATGGTTTCAGAACGAAACGTCAAGCAGTGGTGTTTCATCTTCTCCTCGAAGTCCAAGCGAGTAGTTAGGTGCCGTCAAAGTTGTCGTCGTGGTCGTCGTCGTCGCCGCTCCGTTTTCTCAGCCTTTGAGAAGCTCCGCCCCCTCCGTGCGGGTCCCACCCCCAAGGTCAAGCGCTCTTGATTCGCTACCCTTCGATCGTATACGCAAATGTAGAAACTAAGTCGTGTTTACGTTTTTGAGTTTATGTTTTGTTTACAGCAATTTGTCGTCATAGAGGTCAAGCACGGCTTCTAGCTTTTTGTATTGTTTCTCTTTTTTTGTGACAGACAGCTTTTAATTGTGGATGTGCTTGTGTGTAAATATGTAAATCTTACGAAAATTCTAATTTTTTTCCAAGTGAATGTTGTTTTTTCACTGTGGAACCTAACCGAGTCTGTATAGAGTTTCTCGTTCTATTGCAAATAAAATTTAATTGACTTTATGTATTTGTAAACTGCTGTTACTTACCCACAGTACGCGATGTGAAAGTCTCACAAAATCGTAGAGTTGTGGGCAAACCTTCGTGCTCAGACGGGTTTCGAACCCGTACCTATACTTTCTGAGCACCGTACTCTTTATCCCCTGCGCCACTGAAATGGCCTTCTCCCGCCTTCTTGAAGCTAACTACAGTAGCGCTCAAAAGTCTTTGGTGAAATGGTTCTTCAGCCGTACTTTTCAGTCGTAGCTCCTTTCCTA